TGTTGCTGTCAATAACAGTTGTTATTCATAGCACTCTTACTGTTTGCCCCGGTACATTGCATACATTATTACTAAACAAATTACACACATCTTTTCCTAGAAAGCATGCAACAACCCTATGGAATAGCTATTACTATCTGTTTTATAGATGAAACAACTAAACATCTTAACCATTGCAACTACTGCCACTAGCATCCCTGTTATAACAACACATTTTGAATCATCACTTCTGGTGTAGGATGATTTAAAATAATTCCACCAGTCTAATTATGGAGTTATATTATCTAGAAGGCCTATAATCCTTATTTTCAATCTCTGTATGTTTAGGCTGTCTTCTTTACCTCCTCAACTTTCTTTCAGTTACTCAGTAATATTTTAGGAAAAGTCAGAGTTCTGACTTCTAGTCAATTTAAATTGGTCAAATTTTTTTAAATGGCAGTGCTTCTTAGCAAAAGACTTTTCATTCTTCTGATCCCTTTACTGGGAAGTAGTGCTCGTGAGTACAAGTTTTGATTACAGTTGCCTTAAAGACTAGTTTTGAAAAGGCTTTCATTTGTTTGAGAAATAAATTGGTTGCTCAATGATACTGCTAAACTGAAAACAAGAGGAAAGAAAAGTCAACTTAACCTAACCCAAATGAGGAACGTGTTTCCTGCAATGAGCATGTGTCAAAGGCAGCATGACATGTCCTAACTCCCTTGTGTAATCAGGGTTGTCTCATGTGTTATGGGTAAATTATCTATTTTGTAAGTTAGGCCAAAGTGTGCGCCTTCAAGTAACTGTGAAAGCATGCTTGAAAGCCCATGAAACCTTATTATTCCAATTACCAACACAAGGGGTTGATAAATGAATTATGAGGCCAGGTATTACTGTCATTAAATAGACCTTCCTCAATTATTTATCCTTAGGTCTGGGGTTACAGCTCAGAGAACTGTGCATATTGTACCAGGGCTTTGAGCTCTGAGACCTGGAGACTGGATTACAGTGTTGGCAGGCAGCTTTTGTTGAATGCAATTCAAGGGGATGACACACATTTTTCAGTCAGACATTTGGATGGTTTGAGGCCAATAGATATTCAAAGTTTATCCACAAAAGCCTATTTCATTTTAGCCACATAGAAAAATCCCTTTAAATTATCCAGATCAGTACAAATGTGTAGGAAAATGGATTAACTACAGGAAAAATACAAAGAAACTCTTCTGCTTTTTAGTTTTCAAAGACTCTTTCTGTTTTCTTGCATCTTGGTCTCTGTCATGGGTACTTTAGCGTGATAAGTATCAGTCAGTGTTTAGCTCCGTATTGGATACTTTCTTTTTGTATCTTGTTTTTAACTGCACAATGAAAGATGTCTTCTGGTTAAGAAATCTGTTACCAGGGAGGATGGGATTGGGTGATACTAGCTTTCTTTTCTTCTGAAATCATGCCAGCCCATTGCCAAGGTCAGCCCTGAAAATAATATTAGGGTGTGTTCTTTCTTTTTCCCTCGTCTAAGCAAGACACTTTCTTACACCCCAAGAGCATCAGATTAGAGGGTCAGGAATCTGTTCTTGCTTAATGACCATCCTCTACCCACTCCATACCCCCGGCTTTGCTTTAATGTCATCCCTCAGACTTCTGATGAGTTGAATCTAGTAGTTGTTTTGGCCAGGGTGGGCAGTGGGAGCAGGAGGGGCTAGAAGGACTGTTCAGAGATTCCTTTGGTGTGAAATTTGGGGAAGTTCTCTTAGAGAATGGAGGAGGGGTAGGACGTTAGGGAGAGAAGAATAAATTCACACTTGAGATTAGAATTAAGTCCAGATTTTTGTTTAAAAAACCAAAGTCAGGATATGTAAAGGTGGAGTAGTAATTGGAAGAGAAATATGAAGCTATACCTAGCATCAGGGAGAACTTGGCAATTTAAAAGACAAAAAGTAAAAAAGTGTTTAGATTGTTCAAAGGAAAATTATATTTAAAAAAAACCTTATGCATGCCGTGTAAATGGATTCTATATTGTTAAATGAATTCATAATTAATTTGGTGGTATTTTAGATTTGGTTATAACCTTGACTTCCCTCTTTCTCTCTTAAATCTTGTTAGTTTAGTGTTCCTGTAACATAATCATCAGCTCCCAAAATAAAAAATCTTGTCAGAAATATGGAGGAATAGCTATTTCTTTACACTTCTGACTGCTTAGAGCAGTCATGTTTTCTAATTGGCCTCTCAGCTGGAAAGTGGTATCATTCTAATAGGCCAAAGTGATGCTCTTTAATTATCTGCTAAAAATCAAGAGTAGTGGATATGCCCATAAAGTAGTCACTTCATTACATTTGAAAAACAAACTTTAATTTTTTTTACTAAGAAGAATTTTTGATTCTCTATATGTGTTTATTAAAATAGAGAATGATGTGATAGTTCCTATGTATACAAGGTTTTATGAATTTCAAAATTGTTGATGTCAAATAATTGCTAAAACAGGATGTATAGGTTCTTAAAAATCAACACACTGTACAAAATTGGGTAATGAAAACTACAGGGCTTATAGGAAAAATAAGGATTGGGCACAATATTCAAAACATCATCAGTGACATATTAAAAAAAGAGAGATTTAATAAAGTGGCAGCAACGTTTTACGTATGTTAAATGGTTAAGAAATACATAAACATTGCAATAAATATGGCAGTTAACCTCGTAAAAGGCCAGAAATTTTCTTGTGGAAACAACAAGGTTGCAATTTCTAAATTATTGTGAAGCATGGAAAGAGGGTCATTGTAACACCAGCTCTGAATGGATGTGGCTTTTCTAGAAAACATGTGGGATGCTGTGAGGTAGCTGGTTGATGAGGTGTGTGCATTTTGTGTGTGCACTGCTTGGCTAAGCTAGATGCCGTGTTTTGCATTTACTTAGTGTTTCTTTAGATAAAGTCACAAATAAGCAAACACAAAATCTGTGTTATGCTCAAATTGTTCCATCATATAACAATTATGTTAGAACAAATTCTCAGTTTCAAAACAAGTGTTACAGTGGAATTGACAGTGTAATATTTCCTTCAACACTTCTACATCTGTAATCTCACCTTATTCTCACCACCACCCCGGCCAACTGGGAAGCAATTGCCCAATTTTTGTTTGTTTGAGAACCCTGCCCTGTTAAAAGCTAAGTAACTGAGGGAATCTGTGTCTGAACTTGCTCAGGTGTGTACGAATCTTGAGCAAGTGGGCTTTCCTCTGAGAAGCAGGGAACCCCTCAACATGTTTAGAGAGCGTCAGAAATGTGGGCAAGGTTATAGAGACAAATCACAGAGGCTGGGTTAGAACTCAAGTTACTTGATTTTCAGTTTAGATCAGTTCAACATTTTATAGTGTCTGCTAGGTACCACACTCGTTCCTGTCTTATCTCTACAACAGAGTTGAAGCTTAAATACGATGTGTTTTCTTGACTGCTGGACCCAAAAACCCAGCCATGAGAGCTCAGTTTATCCTGAACATGTCAGAATGTGGAGAATGTTTTAGAAACTGTTTTTCAATTCATCTTCGCAGCTCAGAAGTTATGTCAAATATCAGAGTGTTTGACAAGGCCAGTCTAATAATTCTCCATTCCCCTATTAAGTTTCTGAGAAGACTAATAAGTAAGGGTGCAGCCCCAAAGCCGAGAATGGCTTTGCCTTCAAGCATTAATTGATGTGGAAAATACAATTATTAGATACTTCCCTGTCTCAGTTATGCCATTCAGGTCTGTTTGAAGAAGGTTTAAGTTTATTAAACATCTCCTATGGTCAAAGTAATGGGCAATGCTGTGGGAGACACAAAAGGAAAAAATATTGTCCCTGCCATCAAGAAACTGATGTGGGGAGTCTGTCTGATGACTGAAGAAAATCTTCTCTGTTGTGCTTGTGTTTTTATGGCAGAATATGGGTGGGTGCACATGCGTAGGTGAGTAATGGGGTACCATTTTGTAGTTATTGGCTAAGATAGCAGACATGTGCTGTTTTGATCACTGGGCATTGTAATACCATGAGTTTAGCACTGATACTAAGGATTACAAAAATTCCCTCATCAACTTTTCACTTTTTTAAGAATACTTTGTGTGTTGTTTATTTATAGTCATGTGCTAAAAGACCTTGTCTGTAAAACCACGTATTCCGAGGGCCACCAACTTGACAGCAGCATTGTACCTATAGACCCAACATCCAGGTTTGGGTTATCCCTGGGGTTCTCTTGGGTTGTGCCTTTTATGGCCCCTGAGAGGTCAAGACAAGTCTGGACTGCCTCTATTTTAAAAAATCTTTTCTATATCAAACAAACAACAGTCGCAAAAATGATTAAAATGATTATAAAAATTGTAGTATATTTAACATGTTTACCTTATCCATTTTGATAAATTAATGCTTTTTAACACATACGCAGACACTAATGTGACTACTATAAATGTATAAATATTTGGGAATAATGTTAAAGTTTAAATTTAAAGCCTTTTCTGACTGTGAGGCCAAAAAAGCATTCTTTCCTTTTCTCTCTTCCCTCAATCCTGTTTACTTTACATCTGATTTTTTTGTTTTAAATCATAATTGCTTTTGTGAGATTAAACTCAGGTCAATAAGTGTCAGTTTGTCCTAAACTCTCTGCCCTATTTTTTTAAAGTAATTCTCTAAAAAAGAAGGAAAGAAAGTATTTTAAAATAAGCAGCCTGACTACCAGAATCTGAAGCAAACTTCAGATCCAGTTTTATAGGTGGTAGAAATGAGAAGAACTAGGGTTCTCGATTTTGACACTTAGCATAAACTTCTTGCTTTTTGATGACTCCAGCTGATTAATAAGTGAGACTAAAATATCTTATCCTTCCTGGGCAGAATTAAAAAACGTAAACAGCCATTACAAGTCCCAAGGTTATGAAATTCAGCTTCTTCTAGAAGAGTCTAGAAGAAATAAGGCAGTAGACCTAATAAAATTAAATGTCCATTACTTTTATCTTGTATTAATTTCAACCCACCCTCACCCACTCCTTATTTTGTTTTATTTTCTCAGGGAAGCAAAAAAATTTGTGAATGAAAATGAAGGGGCTCTTGGGAAAGGGAAAGGAAAACAATGGTTTGCATTTAAGATGATGATGGCCAAGGTAAGTATTTTCATAACCCAGTTTGATTGATGCCATGTACGCTCAATGGAAGCCATATTGCCTCCAAGGTGGGTGAAATTGGTTCCGTTCTGAGAGAGTGAAAAAAATCTTACACCTCATATGTATAAAACGCAGATGCACAGTATATCTGTGTTACTAAAATTTGGGGAAGGAGCACTTCAGGAAAAATATTGTTCAAAATGTCTCCTTAGAGGAGTTAAAATACAAAATAAGTTGAGAAACATTGAATTATGGCAAAAGACTGACTTGTGTGATTTTATCACTTCCAAATGTAAAAGACTGTGCCTTCCATTTCATTCCCTGGGAGTTAAGGGCTTCTGGGTCAAGATTTCTTTCTCAAAATGTCTACAAGTTATAGAGCCATATAGCTCTTCTCTACAAGGAACATCAACTACAAATTGGATAGAAAATAAGAAAAAACAAATGATATGCCAATATAAATAAAGATTTTTGGAAAAGATAGAAAAGAAACTAACATTTATTTAGCACTTACTACATGCCAAGCACTGAATTAAATCCTTCCATAAAAATTGCATCCTTATATAAAAATCCTTCCGTATTTAATTCTCACAGTAAAGTAGGCATGTGGGTATTAATATCCCCTCTTTACAAATGTTATACCACCTGTAAGCTAAAAATATTCTCATAAAGATGGAGGTTTGTGAATAAAGTTCATGTATCTTAAACATGAAACATACAGATACACCTATGATATATATTTATATACATTATATATATATCTCATAGATTTGTTTTGTCTGTTTTTACAATTTAAATAAATGGAATCATACAGTATGTATGCTTTTGTTTCTGGCTTCTTTGATGCAATGTTATGTTCATGAGATACAACCACGTTGTGGGAGTTATAATTCATTTTTATTAATGTGTTGCATTTCATTGTATGAAGATACTAGAATTTATATATCCATTCTGTTGTAGATGAACAGTTGGGTTGTTTCTGGTTTAGCTAATCTTTTGAACTTCAGACTTGTCTCAGATCTGATTTAGGCTCTTCATGCCTGTCTAGCTCACACATTACCCCAGCGTCATGTGTGCACATGCGAGGAAGGTTATCTACCCCATTCCCATTCTTCCTAGTGGTCCTCTTGATCATGGGTAGCCCAACATTGTTGGGGAAAATGGAAGGAAGACCTTTCATAAAAACGAACTTGTGATCCTTTTTCTTCTTCCCTTTCGTACAGCACCATGCCCTTAGCTGACTGTTCTACCTCTACTAGAGTGGAAACTCATAACACTTATCATCCTGTATGGAAATTACCTGTTTATGTACAGTCTACTCGAGTAGGCCCAGAGGCCCTTCAAGGCAGGAACTATGTCTTATTTATATTTCATTAATTTCTTCATGCAGTGAATATTTAATTAAACACATACCATTTGCCAATCACCTTATTAGGTGCTAACTCAGTCCCTGCTCTCTTACTGTGTGGCAGAGTAAACAGATCTTTCTCAGTGGTCAGCATATTTTTTGTGAAACAGGGAGTCAGTAAACATTTTTTAATTAAACTGGTCTAGGGGTAGGTGGCAAATAGGGAAGCAAGTGAAACCCAGCGTCTCACTTTTTTACAAAAAGCTTCAGAGATCTTTGCAAGCTCATTGTCTTGAGGTATTTGGGGATGGGGGTCGAGGATAAACCCCTTGACAAATAAGCAGTTGGGTTTTACTGTTGTACTTGACTTTCTTTTCAGAAATGGGCAAAATTTCTCCGTGATTTCGAGAACTTCAAAGCTGCTTGTGTCCCATGGGAAAATAAAATCAAGGCAATTGAAAGTAAGTGCTCATCAGATCTCATTAGATGCGGAATGCTGTCCTAGATTAATGTCTCATAAGCCTATCAGATGCCTTTCTCAGTTTCTGCACTATTGGAAAAATTAAAAACAAGAAAACAAAGAGATTTTTATATCCTCTTTGCTCACTGTGAAGATTTGCTAGCACTGAGCAATCACAGCGCTGGAGACTTCACTCTCCCTTCTTACATTAGACCAAAATATTCTCATTTTAACCTTGGTTTTTATGCTATACATGGAAATCAGTATTGTGCACAAGGACATTGGGTCATATTGTTGAGAAGACAGAGATTTTTATTTTGGCAATGAACATGACATTGAAAATATACATGCACTTGGATGTCAGACAATCAAAATGAACAATCACTGAAAACAGTTAAGAAATCTTAAAGCATCATTTTCAAACCTCTAAGGTAGAATAAGCAATAATCATTCAGAAACTCGCTCTCTGAATATCATATTATACCTTCATTTTATACAATATTCATAGTGTACAGAGAAGGCAGGAAAACATACCCAATCAAAAACCTGTTTAGTGTAGTGCTTTAAGCTTAGGATAAGGCAAATAAAAATTTTTAAATATTATAACTATAATAGTAAATCATTTTCAAAATAATAAAGGATATAAAGAAAGGGGGATAGAATAATTTTGAGCACAGTCTTGCCATTTTCTGGTTCCTAGTAGTTTTGACTAGGATCTGATTTTCCTCCATGCCTCTCCAGATAGCGGGGCAGATTCTCCTGCTGGCTAAATGTGGCGTTGCCTAATTAAAATGGAGGCTCCCTTGGGAGATAATGCAGTTGATGGATATTTCACTGACATGATTGGGCACGTTTTAGGACTGACTGTCCCTCAGTCCTCTGTCTCTCATTATCAAATGGCAATGAATTAAAACACATCAGGTTGTTAATTGAACTTCCTCCCACATATTCCTGTGCCATCCCTTCCTTGCTTTATTTTTCTCCTCAACACTTATCACTATCTAAATGACTATATTTTTAATTTAATATTTAAGTGTTTACATGTTTAAGTGTAATTCTGTTTCATTTTATTTTCGGTTCATTTCTTCCAGTAGACATGAAGGCAGAGATATTTTGTTTTGTTCACTCCTGGATCCCCAGACCTAGAACATGCTTGGCCTTAATGAATATATGCTGAATAAAATTAAATAGCAGACGTTTTCCAAATGTCCACCATCCTAGGAAAGGCAAAAAGAAATTTAAATATGTCAAAAAGAGTGGACATCATGGAATTCTTAAGTTTTGACTGTGCAGCTAGAATATGGTACCTTGAGAGGTATTGAGAAACAGAGGGCCATTTAGAGCCTTAAGATATAGATACAATTTGTGTGGAAAGAACTCTGGATTTGGTTCTTGCTTTGCTGCAGATTCACTGTTTGACTCTGGGCCAGCCATTTAATCCCTCTGGGCCTCAGTCTACTCATTCATGAAATGATAAAAATGAATCTTGGTCAGTTATAAAATGTATCCCAAGAAATGCGTAAGGAATGATAGTTTAAATATATACATTTGCAAATTATTTCTTTTGAAAGTGCACTAGAGCAGGTTCCGGCCTATCTCAATAGTAATTTCATGCTCACTTGTGTTGCAGTAGCTTATTCTGAGTGGGAGAGAAACAGATGGAATTATTTTTCTTGCCAGAAATTGTACACAGGAATGACTTACACATATGACTGCCATCTATCCTGTGTGTCACAGAGAGAGACAGATTGAGAGCTGCTCAATAAGACTTTCAGTCATCTTCCCTCCTCCCCTCTTCCCTCAGAAGAATGGGAGTCAAGTTGGACAATTCAAGCAAATGTACATTATTTGCCACACTTATTATTTGATTAGATTGTCCTGAATTTTTTTAACTTTTTATGGTGCTTTGCCTTACTGTGGAGAATTGACCTTTATTTTCCATTCTATCAACAATCACCATAACAAGCAGTTACTGAGCGCTACTCAGACACTGCAAACATTATTTCATTTAATCTTTAACTTGCCTGCAATGGGCACATTAGCTTTCCATTTTAGAGTTGTAGTCAAATAACTGTCCCAGAATTAGTTATTAGAGGAGCCAAGATATAAGGTGAAGTCTTTCTGGGCCCAAAGCTTGTGCATTTCCTTATGTGGCATGCTGATTTTCACTTTGAAGAAGATTTTATAAACTTTTTCTTTTGTACCTGGTCCTAGAGGAGATTAGACCAGGACAACAGCAGAATAAGTAGCTATAGATTTCCTTGATAGTTAACTATTTGGGGAATTATTTCCCATTTTCTCATGTATTTATTTTTGAGTGAGTTATTTAATTATGTATTTCATATTCTATAAGATACTTAATGTAGTAAGATCTTAATGATAATTATAAGTGCACCAGGTACTTTTGGGCTACTGCATTAGATGAAAAGTGTGAAACCTATCAAAAAGTAAATTAGCAGAGTCTTTGGATTGGACTAACCACCTCATAGAAAGTGCCTTACCAAAGATAGAGAAAGCGTGTGTCTGTGATGGTCTTTCAAACTGAACTGAATAGAAAATGGGAAGAGATGTGACATGCAAATCAGTTTTTGAAAGCTTGAAGTCTTTTTGCCCCATTTTAGCCCTGTAGTTTGGGCAATTCTTTTTTTTAAAACATCTTTTATTAATTTATAATCATTTTACAATGTTGTGTCAAATTCTAGTATTCAGCACAATTATTCAGTCATACATGGACATATACCCACTCATTATCACATTTATTCCTCTGTGATTCCCTGTGCTATACAGTATAATCTTGTTTATCTATTCTACAATTTTGAAATCCCAGTCTATCCTGGGCAATTCTTTCATATTTAGGGCCATCTATTTCCACATGAGTTTCCACAGAATTTAGTTGCAATCAGTTTGAGATATATATGTAAGCATGTGAAATTTTCTACTTTATACTTTTGAGTTATAAATTATTGGAACAGTTAATGGAAAACAGACTTTTGCTAAGAGAGGCCTGCATAATTTACCTTCTCTGCAAATTTTTTTTCAGATAAAAGTAGGTTAAATATGTACCCCATTTATAAAATATATACTTTATATTATAAAACTAGTATAAATGCTTTTCTCTTGAAGAAATGGCCCTTTAATCTTACCAAAGTTTCAAAAATGTTATTATATTCCTTTCAAAAGTCAGAATTGGGGAAGGGTATAGCTCAAGTGGTAGAGTGCGTGCCTAGCATGCATGAAGTCCTGGGTTCAGTCCCACTCAGTGCTTCCTCTAAGAATAGATAAAGAAGTAAACCTAATTACCTCCCCCACCCAAAAAAAAAAAAAGTCAGAATCATCTAACGTATAATATCTCATTTAATCTTCTGAATAAGCTTGACTGAGTTGATTAATTGATTGAGCAAATACTCATTTACTGAGTGCCAGTCATTTATTAGGCATGTTTCTAGGCACTGGGGATGCACTACTGACAAAAACAGGCAAGAGTCGAACTTATATCCAAATGTGTTGATATGTGTGTGGGTGGGTGGAGAGATAATTCATAAAATATAAGCAAATAAATAATGAGGATAATTATGGATTGTGTTAAGTGGCAGAGAAACACTCTATGCTCCTCTCCCAAAAGTCTTTCTAATCCACTTTGCTCTCACTCACTGCTCAATCTCTAAATAAATACTAAATAATTTTTTAATGTGGTTTTAAAAGAGTCCCAAGTTACCAGCCTTGATTAAGTTTCCGCAGAACTCTGTCTGTCCAGCAATTGGCAGAATCACAAGGAGAACTCATATCAAGTCTAAAACTCATGCTGTTTCCATCTTGATTCCAGTAGGACCTGGATCCATACACTAGAGTGGACCAGGAGCTTACCTGATGACTCCCAACCTTTTTTCATGTAAATAATAGATTTGATAATTTCTGCCACAGAGGGATGCTGTGTGAAGTTCATCACATGATGATGCCATTGAGTTTTACTGTCATGCCAGCCTCGTAAGAGGGCCCTGCCTAAAACTCTGTGGTTACTTGCACCTTATTAGCCACGTTGCATTGCATCTTTTGCTGAAGAAGCTGTACATTTCTACTCCCAGGAAATATAATCTCTATCCATTGTGACGCCAGCATTACTATTAAAACCATGGATTAAATCATTGAATGTCTTTCCAGCTGGAGATTACAAATCTTTCTCAGAATCAAAATCTTCTTCTCCCCAGTAGTAAATTATAGCATGAAAATTGAGGTGTGATAGATCTCTTTTTTTTAGACCAGAAATAGCTTTAGTTAGACAACTTTGAGCACAGAGTTGAAATCGCATGTTTCCCTGCTGGCCTAAGGGCTCCAGAAATATAAATTACATTTTCCACATTTAATTCCCTATCCGCAGACCAGTTTGAAAGAAACCGTGCTTTGAATCCTAGCCTAACAAGACAGTATTTATATTGTACTTTATAGCAGGTGATTTAATTGGTCTTTTCCTATTTAGAAATGCTTGTATTTATCTGCTTGTCTTATTACCTATCTGTTCAAGAGGAAATTATACATAATAACAGACTACAAATTACTTTTCCTTAGTAATAAATAACCAGAGGGAGAGATGAAACTTTCATATTCATTTAAAAGAAACACTAGAAAATTCAGGAACAAGAATGTTGTATAAGCTTAAGGCTTCACTTTAATAAATACCAAAGACTGTTTTAATATATTAATAATTCACTATGGAAACAGCATTTTATTAGTTAGATGAAGGAAAAGAATTGGTCATTTATGGGCATCATCAAAATTTGTGAATTTGACCTGCCTTAGCTGATGGATGGATATTCTCTTTATCTATTCTTTCATGCACACACATTCATTGCATATTTACTCTATATAGCATAGTTTAAAAAAAAAAACTAACAACTATGATTCTGTGTGAGGAGCAGTATAGCACTGTGGGTAAGAGAGATCTCGATTTAGAGTCAAGCACCTAGAGATCAAGACTATCTAATTTAGAACTCTGGCTCCATCATGTACTAGATCTGTAACCTATAGAGTTAAGTCTCTGTAAAATGGGAGTACAAAAGATTCCCCTGGCAGGAGTTTGATGATGATTAAATGAATTAATACACAGAGATCAAATAGGTATCTGAAACAAAGATTCATAAATTTTAGTTGTTATTATTATTATTTACCAAATCTTGGATCAGTCAACTGCTGTGTTTAAGTTTTTGATTCCCCATCCACACAGTGGGACTAATAATACTTAACCTTAGGTTGTGGAGGCAGTGAAATGAGTGGATGCTGGTGAAGTTCTTAGTGTATGTAACTGACCATCAAAATGTGTTAGCTATTATTATGACTCCTCATTATTGTTCTTTACAAGAACAAATCAGTTTGGTCTGAGAGACTAAGCACATGGAAATGAATGTTCTTTTTAATTATGCTCTTTTAGCCACACTGTAGAAAGGTTCCTTTGTTAAGGAAATGCCTGTTTCAGTCAATACTCACTGGTAGGATAGAACCGCTAGGATAAATGAACATGAGGAGGGAAAATGTCTTCTTCACTTTTGTGCTGAGAAAGGGCAAGGGCATTTGGAGCTTTGATGTCAACCAGTTGATTTGTTTTCTTTCCTTTACGATCTTGGATCTTTGTTTTGTTATTGTTATTGTTTCCCCCTCTGCCATTGGCAGGTGTCACGCAGAAGGAACATTGTCCTCTGGATTCCTCGGTCTCTTTGACCTGTGTCTGGGTCTTTCCTACAATCACTCTTGTTTTCATGAAATCTATTTCCCTGCAGTTCATTTTCTTTATACCTAGGATTTTGCAAAGAAAGGCCTAAGCTGTCACTTCTCTACCGCCAAATAAAACGGTTGTCAAGACACTTCCAAGGCTAAAAACTGGTGTTTGGAAACTTTGGAGTCTAAAGTATATTTCACCCACAATGAATATGGATTTTTATATAGGATAGGGGGTACTTTCTGAAACATTATAATTTGCTTCTCTTTTTTTGCTTTTAGGTATATTTACACTCTATACTCAATTTATGAAGCTCATTTGCCAGGGGATGTGTATGGGTGTCTGGGAAAAGGTGGGCTAATTACAAGAGGAAAAACTGTAAAATGCCAGTAAGGAAGGAAGGAGGGAAGGTTGGGCCAGCATCCTGTGCTCTATACCAGAGGGTCTTATGTGTGTTTCCAGGGAAAAGCCTGCCCTGGATACCTAGAGATGAGTGTTCTTCTCCAGTTAATGAGTAACTGTAATGACTAACAAGCTGGAAGTCCATTGCCTTCAATAAAACATGATGAGTGAACCTGGCTGAGGCAGTCCTTGGGTAGTTGTTACCAGAGAACATAGATAACAGCCATGAAATGATCTGAAATCACTGGAAGCCAGGTGGATGATCAGATAGCCTAGGAGGGGAGGATCTGCCTCAGCATTTCTGCAGATAGACTAGTGCATCTGATTACAGCACCTGGGGGCCGTGTT